TTGTGTATATATGCCACATTTTCTTTATCCGTTCATCTGCTGAAGGGCATCCAGGTTGGCTCCACAGTCTAGCTGTTGTGAGTTGTGCTGCTGTGAACATTGATGAGCCAAGGACTTTTCAATGGGACCCTGGAAAGATGCCTTGAGGGCGCCTCAGGAACTGGCCAGAGGCCACCCATCACAGGCTCAGGGGTGAAGAAAGTGCAAACCCCTTTGAGAGACCTTGCTTTAAGGAGAGAGCGCTGGGCTGTCCTGTTTGCCCAGGGCCACGAGGGAGCCCGTCTCCCACTGGAGCCACTCGGGAACTTAGAAGCTGCTGCGCCTGTCATCCGAGTGGACCCACCTCCCGCTCCTGCTGTTGGGGAACCTTGCTATCCCGCCTGCATGGTCCTGGTTTCGCAGGGGTACAGAATCCGAGAATTATCGGGTCCCGGAGGCTCCCACTGAGATGTCAAAGGAAGTCCCGGGGGATAAGGCAGCAGGTGGCAGGATGGGAGTCCCCGAGAGGCAGAGAGGCAAAGGATGAAGGTGTGAGCTGGGGACCCCAGCAAGTTGGAGACACTAGGAACTAGAACGTCTGCTGAGGATAGCCGGAGGCCATGAGCAAAGCCAGCCCAAAGGAGTGGCCCTGTGACCTGGCCAGCAAGGCCACTGGGGCTTCAGGGCTCCCATTAGACCACAGATGCTGGATTTGGGTCTTGCTTTGGTTTGACCCTTTCTTCATACTTCCCTAGTTTTTCTAGTATTTTGAACCTAAAGGGTGCTGTATTTTTCCATTCTCCCCTTTTCTAATGGGAATGTTTACCCTGTGCCATTATATTTTGGAAGTATGTCATTTTTATTTATTTATTTTTTTCTTTTTACAGGGGATCATAGCTGAGAGCTTGCTGTAACTCTAAGAGGAGAACTTGGACTTGGCCTTTCCAGCGATGCTTGAGCAGTACGACTTTGGTTGTCATGGGGAGCCGCCTCAGAGAACGCTCTGAGTCCTAATTCAAACAACAGAGAGCTCTGTTTACCTGGCTGGGGACTGTCACCCACCGGTAGAGACTGATGCCCTGTGGGAGAGCAGCAGCTTCCTGACTTGCGTCTTGGGAATTTAAGGATGAAAACCACAACTTGTTTAGGGTCATGCGAGCAAGCCAGTCACAGAAGTTAAGACAGTGACTAGTGGGACCTAAGCAGGACCGGAATTTTCCCGTTAGCAAGTTACAGACGCTAAAAAAAGAAGCAGTTGGCTTAATGGTGTCTCAGGTCCAAGCAAGGGTTGGACAACTGTATCCTGAGTTTCAGCTGAGTGGGGGGCGATCATCTGTTTTAAAGTCCTGTAGACCCACAAAGGTACCCAAACCCAGGATGTAGCTCACCACGACCACCACCATATCCAAGAGCTGGGCACATTCTGTGGGGCACAGTTTTTAAAAGAAGACAGCTCTCATTTCCGTTTCTCAGAAATGGTCCTGCCGGTCCCTGGTCCCAGGAGCAGTGACAGTAAGCTGGAGTCCAGAACAGCTAAGACAGAGTCCCCACGGCCACACTTTGTGTTGGCATAGCCACACTGACTCCATCCCACATCCCAGTAGTAGTGACTTCTTTGATGCTTGCAGTTCTCTCCTTTACTCATCATTTTACTCCCGACATCTGTAAGCCTTGTGTCCGCATGATGAAGCTAACACTTTTACTGTTCCCGACTATCCTGACTTAACCTTGTCTACCTCTATATTAACCCATCAGCCTGTACTGATCTAGAACTGTACTGCCATGCTGACGTATCACCTTTCACTGCTTCATAGCTTTTTCCTGTGGCTTAAATCCTGTGTCTTATGTGATTTCATTACTTACTTAGGCTTACTCCTGATGAACTTATCTATGAACTTAGGTCTACTGTTGCTTATCTAGGCTATCTTACCTTATTCCTATGATCTACAACCTATGTCTATGACTTATGGATTATATTGATCAGTTCACCCCACAGCATAGTGACCTTGGAGATGGACTTAATGCATTTCAAGTGTGAGACAGACATAACTTTTGGGAGCTGGGGGTGGGGGGGGTGGGCAGAATGTTATGGTTTGGATCTTAAATGTCCCCCAAAAGAACATGAGCTAAAGGTTTGGTCTCCAGTTCAAGTCGCGGTTGGGAGGTAGTAGAAACAGGAGTGGGGTCTAGTTAGAGGGAGTGGGAGACGGGGGGGGCCATTCCTTTGCAGGTTTATTTTGTTCCTGGCTCCTGTCTGTTTCTTTCTTTGCTCTCTGGCCACCATGAGGGGAGCACCTCTGCTCTACCCTGAGATCCCTGTTGGAATGTTATGCCTTAACAGAGGCCCAAAGCTCTGTGGTCAAGGGATCATGGGCTGAAGCCACGGGAATGTGGAGCCAAAATGAATCTTGCAGTAAGGGTCCTCCACAGTGCAAACCCAGAGTTTCACTCTTGTGCTCTGTCTGTAGTCCACAGCTTATCTCTGGATCCTCAGGACCCCAGGTAAGAGCAGAGAATTCCCAGCTTTGGCCCAGAGGTACACTAGAATGCTATCTTATTCTACTCAGACACACTTCTTTCTTCTGTACTTTTAAAAAGCATTTTTGTGCCTTTGGGGACAGTAAGATCCATAAATTCCTTATGCTTCGAAGGGTTATAATGTAACAGGAGAATTAAACATATAAAATGAATCATAGTGAAAAATAGTCATATGCTTAATTACATTAACAAAATTTCTATGAAGTGTCATGAAAGCTTATGGGAGTTATTAGTTCTTTCTAAAATGTTAAGTGAGTTTCTATGGAAATATTTGAACCAAAATCTTATAGCTAAAATGATACCTTAAACAAGAAAGTGGAGAACTGGTATTCTACACCGAAGAAATGGCATGAATGAAAAATATAGGCATCAAAAAGGAATGATACACTTGGAGAACAGTGGATTCCTTGGTGTGGCTGGAGGTGGTGTGGTTGGGTCTTACAGGGGAATTTTGGTGTAGTACAAGAGTTTTTATGCTTTAAAGTACACAGAAATTGGGGGAGAATTTGTTTTGAGGCGGGGTCTCAAACTCCTTGGCTCAAGTGATCCTCTCTCCTCAGGTTTCTGAGTAGCTGGGACCACAGACACTTGTCACCATGTGCACCTAGGAGAGTCCTTAAGTTTTCTTTTTGGTCAATGAAGGAGTTGAAACAAACATTCCTTTGTGTTCTGACCATATTTACTTTATGTGCAAGGGAACCAGGTGCCACCTCTCTCACCACAGGCTCGGGTGGGATTTCGATATAAGTCAGCGTGGTCTTGTGGACCTTAGAATGGTGGAATCGCATGAGCAGATTTCTTGAATGGGTAATCACAGGTTCCCAAAGAGATGGGACTTTGTCCCTGGCCATTGGTGGGGAAGCCTTGGTATCTTTCTCTCCCTACGGAGTGAATAACCCGGGCCACGGGCAATGTAGAAGCTTTTTAAATTTTCATTTTTTCCCATTCAAGTCTGTCCAAGTAGCTGAATCTGTGTGAATCTGTGAGCTCTGGAACACAAAAGTCTGTGGGAGGACTCGCCAGGACTTTCCTAGGAGACACAGCACTAAAAACAACGGGACGCAGACCTGGTCGGGGCTGGGAGGACGGGAGGCCCCGGTCTTTGACCGAGGGGAGCTATTTCAGGATGTGGGGATTGGGATGCAGAAAGACTGTCCAGGATTTCTTGGGGTGAGAGACATGCATTTCTGAGCCTTATTTGTTCTTGCGTGCTGGGGATTGACTCAGGGCCTCCTGTATGCCAGGAAGGGCTCCACCACTGGATCACATCCCCGGCCCGTGAATCTTGGATCTGCAAAGTTGGGTGTTCCTGCTTAATGTCGACACCCCCTGAGTTTGAAGTAACTATTAGTGAGGAATGTCAGCCATGGAGAGTGATTTTTAAGGGGAAATGGAGAAGGTGGTTAGTAATTGTTTTTGAGGCCGGTTGTTAAAGAGGCAGTTATTTATTAGGGGTGCTGCCAGTGGTGGCAACTAAAATCGAAGTAAGCAGCTCCCAAGAGAAGAATAGAGCCCAGAGGGTAAGTCTGGCTGTGTGTCTAGCTGTCCCTGCCCGGGCTCTCTCCTTCAAAGGCTCGCCTCTGTTTACACCTGGGAGTAAAACTAGTTTCATGCTAGGATTAGGAAGGTCAGGCTCCCAACTACAAAAATAGGGCATCTGTGAGGCCAAGCTGCCCAAACCAAGCTCTGCATACTTTGAACAAACTCTGGAGAGAGATTTTCCTGTATAAGAAAATGACTCTGACTTTCAGAGAGGAGCCTGAGATTCAGGACGGATTGTCTCAGGATAGCTCTGGGAAACCAGCCTGGCCCGAGGGGAGAACTGAGCTCACACTCATCTGTAACTGGAGACGTGTCGGATCTGACCTCCCCACGGTCGTTAGCAGAGTAAGTGTGCCCGGACGGCGGCGCTCTGAGCTCCCAGGAACATTCCTCACGCACTCAGTTCCCCAAATATTACTTCTGGGCCCCAGAGTGGGAAGGGTCAGTCACCCCAGGAAGCAGACAGATTTACCACGTGAAGCACAATTTATTAGCAGGTAAACAGAAGAGAAGTGCAGGCAGGGGGCATTGGGGACGGTGTTGAGGAGGAAGCTATGCATCCGCTCTGACGGACCCTCTTGTCAGGGTAGAGCCCCAGGAAAAGCGCAGACAGTTTCCTTGCCTTGGGAGATGGAGGGGCCACAGGTATGGCCAAGCTGGGGGCTGGAGAGGAGGAGGTCCTTCTCAAGCCCACCTGGGAGATCCTCAGGGTGGGATACAGAAAAGGCCCCGGAGCCCAAGAGGGGCTCATGGTGAGAGGTGCAACGGGAGGGCGTTCTGACAGTGGTTCCTCGGACCCCAGGTAGGAGGAGGAGGGGATCTGGAGCTGGAGGGTGAAGAGCAAGGCGGGGGCCAGCCCCCTCGGTAGCCTGGACGGCAGCAGGTGGTGGCCCTCACCATCCTCACTTCTGTTTACTCTTGGGAGTTTGCTGGGGGCTCTTCTACTGGCTCATGCCCTTGGGTGGGCATTGCTTCTTGGCCTGGGGAGTGCACGGATCCTTGGTTTGGGGTGCACAGGTCTCTTGGCACTTGACAGGCGGCGGCTGACAGGGCTGCTTCACCTGCTGCTGCTGGACCTGCTGGGGTGGGCAGTGCTGCTGCTGCTGCTGCGAAGACATGGCTCCAGGAACAGGTGAGTCTGCAGGGAACCCACGGAGGGTGCATGAGACGGGCGCCCTCCCTCGGTCCTGCCTGACACTCAGAGGGGTGCTTTCCTCTCAAAGGCAGGGACGTGACCCATGATTAACTCCCCGAGGTGACCAGTGGGTTGATGGACACGCCACCCACTAGGTCCTCCCCCTCCCCCCTCTTCCTTCTCCTGGGCTGTTCAGATTTCCCATCTTCCTGCGTCCTCCCATGGACTCCGGATTGAACTGAGCATGTGATTTGCTTCTCAGTCTTACGGGAAATAAGGTGTGGTGGGGGACTGAGGATCAAAGGAAGCCCAAGCCTTTTGAAAGTCTAAGGAGCGAGATTTTCACTGCTGGGCGGGTCGACTGGCCACCTTGGACAGTGCAGATGGTGGGTGTGTACAGGAAGGGAGGGAGGGATGAGGAAGGAGGCAGGGCAGTCTCTGTCTCAAAGGGCAGTGTGAAGGTGCGCTAAGCTGGGACACAGATGCCTGGGTCCCAAACCCCAGTCCGCCCCTAACGCACCTCGGAATGATAAGGGGAGTCACTGGACATGGCTGTCGTATGGAGGTCCCAGTCCTCCACGAGAACTGGGGACCATGAGGGCCAAATAGAGGCAAAGTATCCGAGGAGGGTGTTTTAACAAGAGACAGCTCTGGCCTGGGTTCCCATGCAAACCGGCCAGTCGCTGGCCGCGGGTGCCTGCGGGCACTCTGCTTTCTCTGGACCTCTGGGTCCTTAAGGAAGAATACAGGTTGAACATTCTCTGAGGCCTCCTTAGTTCTAACGAGGCTCTCTGGCTTTCTCTGTAGGCAGAATTCCTCATCTTACAAATTGGTGATTATAAATGGGAAGTGTAGGCCCCATCAAGTCGCGGGGTGGCAATTGGAATAGCGAGGTGTGGGGGATGTGCAGTATGAAATGCAGTGTCCAGTATGACTGCTTTTGTAAACCTGAAAAAGCAAAGTTTGAAGCTTGCAGCAGGGCCCAAAGGCAAACCAGGGGATGGGAAAAGTCCAGAGGGGACTCAGAGTTGTGACAAAATGCTGCAGCCCTGGCTACCACCCTCTTCATGAGAAAGATTCTCTTGCTAAAGAGTTAAGCCCTGAATCAGGAAATGTCATATCTAGCAATGGTGTGAAAGGACCATTTGGATTTCCTAAGTAATAATTATTGTCACCTTTCTGTAATTGTCAAAAGCTTTGTCACTTCCCTGATTACCCAACAACAGGAGAGGAGCTTGGCCTAGCGGCTCAAAGCAGTTCAAGGAGAAGGAAAGAGCCCACAAATCCCAGGGAACAGGAGCAATCTCACTTACCAGAGGCAGCAAGGCAGACCCCGGAGAGTAGGTGAATGCAGATCCAGGGCACCCACTCCTGGAACCCTTATAAAGGCCCCCGAGCTGCCCGGGCCCTTGGCGTGGCCCGATGACCTGCTCCCAGGGAATTCCTCACCCACTTCTCCCACCTGCACTTCCTCAGAGACTTGCTTTACTGGCCTGTTTTGATGCGAACCACCCACCAGATATTTCTAGCACTCTGGGTCCCTGAACCCCAGCTGATCAACCCACCAAAAGGGTTTGCTGAACTCAAGATCTTCTTTAAATAAAGCAAATCTGAGGAGCTGTTGGTGAACTGAGAGAAGGAAAGAGAAGGGGAGGGGGAGGTCTGGGACAATTGTGCCAAAGATAGAAACATTGTTTCTGATGCTAATTGCTGTCCTTGATGGAGCAACCACTGTGTGCCTAGCAGTGAGACGGTACTTACCCATTATTTCATTTTGTCTTTATAACCCCTTTAGACAAATTCTATTGTCATCATTTTGCAGATAAGAAAATTATATTGTCATCATTTTGCAGAGGCTGAGAAAGATCACACAGGTAGTGAAGAGCAGAGGTGGGATTTGAGCTCAGATCTGCGTGATTCAAAGAATCCAGATTCTTAAACATTCGTCAACGCCTTAGCCACAGGTGACATCTACCCCCTCTCCTGTCCCTGAAACACAGTGCCTTTATGTTTCCGGACCCAGAGGGACCACTTGCATATTATTCTATGAGGCCTCCCTTGTAGGGAACAGTATTAAGTGACCCTGTAGCACACGGTGCTCCTGTCCTCCCCAGGGAGGAAGGCTGCTGAGGCTATTCGAGATGGCCAAAGAGGGTGGGATAGGACTTGGCCTCTGTGGTGGACTCCTCAAATGAGATATAGGACATCCAGTTAAATTTGAATTTCAGATAAGAACTTTCTGAAGAATGTCCCAAATAATGCGTGAGTCATCATTGTACTGGAACATTATTTGTTGTTTATCTGAAATGTAAATGTACCTGAAATAGAAATGTCTCTTTTATTTGCTCTTTTTAGATACACATGACAGTAGGGTGTATTTTGACATATCATACATGCACGGAGTATGACTTATTCTAGTTCAAATCCAATTCCTGTGGTTGTACATGATTCGTGTATACACATATGAACATAGGAAAGTTATGTTGGATTCATTCCACTGTCTTTCCTAACTCCATCTCCTCCCTTCCCTTCATTCCCCTTTGTCTAATCCAATGAACTTCTATTCTTCCATCCCCCTTCCCTTATTTTGTATTAGCATTCACATATCAGGGAGAACATTTGACCTTTGGTTGTTGAGACTGGCTTATTTCACTTAGCATGACAGTCTCCAATGCCATCCATTTACCAGCAAATGCCATAATTTCATTTCTTTTTATGGCTGAGTAATATTCCATTGTGTATATATACCACATTTTAAAAAATCTATTCATCTATTGAAGGGCACCTAGGTTGGCTCCATAGCTTTGGTATTGTAAACTGAGCTACTATAAATATTGATGTGGCTGTGTCATTGTAGTGTGCTGATTTTAAGTCCTTTGGGTATAGACTGAGGAGTGGAATAGCAGGGTCAAATGATAGTTCCATTCTAAGTTTTCTGAGGAATCTCTATACTGTTTTCCAGAGAGGTTGTACCAATTTTCAGTCCCACCAGCAATTGTATGAGTGGACCTTTTCCCCCACATCCTTGCCAACATTTATTGTTGCTTGTATTCTTGATAACTGCCATTCTGACTGAAGTGAGATGGAATCTCAGTGAAATTTAATTTGCATTCCTCTAATTGCTAGAGATGTTGAACATTTTTTCATATATTTGTTGACTGATTGTATTTCTTCTTTTGAGAAGTGTTTGTTCTGTTCCTCTTCTCATTTATTGTGATTTTTGTTGTTGTTGTTGTTGTTGTTTTGAGTTCTCTATATATCCTGGAGGTTAATGCTCTGTTTGAGGTGCAGGTGGCAAAAATTGGCTCCCATTCGGTAGGCTTTCTGTTCACATCGATTGTTTCCTTTGCTGGGAAGAAGCTTTTTAGTTTCATACCATCCCATTTATTAATTCTTGTTTTTACTTTTTGGGCTTTACAAGTCTTTTTGAGGAAATCAGTTCCTAAGCCAAATGATGGAGAGTTGGGCCTAAATTCTCTTCTGGTAGGTGCAGGTCTCTGGTCTCATGCCTGGGTCCTTGATCCACTTTGAACTGAGTTTCATGCAGGGGGAGAGATAGAAGTCCAATTTCATTCTACTACCTATCAGTTTCCCGTTTTCCCAGCACCATTTGTTAAGAGGCCGTCTTTTCTCCAATGCACGTTCATGGTGCCTTTGTCCAGTGTGAGAGAAAGAGCTGCAGTGATGTGGGCTGTCTCTGGGTCTCCTGTTCCGGGTCTTCCCGTCTCTTCTGGTGCTTGTGTTCCTACAGCTCTGTGGTGTAATTCAAGGTCTGCTATTGTGAAGTCTCCTGCTTCACTTTTCTCATGAAGGATTTCTTTGACTCTTCTGGCCTCTAATTTTTCCAAATGAATTTAATGCCTGCTTTTTCTAGTTCTATGAAGAATGACATTGGAATTTTAATAGGAATTGCATTAAATATGTATAGTGCTTTTGTGATAGCATGGGGCAGGATGGCCATTTTGACAATATTAATTCTGCCTATCCAAGAACATGGGAGATCTTTCCATGGAAGGTTCTATCTTTATTTGCTAAACTTAGTAATCCCCAGGACCCTACTCAGGTGGCGGGAGGGAACCCAGTTCTGCCCTTGGCCTTCTGGCCTCTGGGAACTAGGAGGGCAGGGCTGTCTGGGAGGCTGACCCACCTTTGGTCACTGCCCCAAGCCTGAGGGTCCTGCCTAACAAGAGGCCATTCTTGTGCTTATTTCTGTCATCTCCAGAAAAATAGAAAGATGCCTGGGAAATGGTAGGAGTACCTTAAAATATTTTCCAAAGCATTTTTCAAACCCTCTGCCTCATTTAAGCCTCATGACAATTCTGTTGTGTCATGAAAATCTGATTTTACAGTTTGTAAAAACAGACCCAAAGAAGTTAAGGGACCGGCTCAACACCTGGATGAATGACCCAGGGCTCTCTCATCGCCACAGTGGACACGTGACTGTCGCTGGTAGGAACCAGGACTAATAAGCTTTTCCGAGATTTCTGTCATATGTAGACTGAATATTCCTACTTCTCAGGAATAACCTCACTTAAAAACAGACTCTTTCCTTAATTTCTCCCTGGAGACTAGACCTCCTTCTCCTCCTCCCAAACCTATCAACATTAAGAATGGAATATTCTGGGCTCCAGATTCTGGACTCTGAATTCCATCTCCAGCCACCTCTCCACCTGCACCCCAACTTCCTCTCCACCTGCACCCCACACCTCCGCCCTCCCACTCCGTGCACACTCTCCTCCAGGGAAGTATACAGCAAGACAGACTTGGTAAACACTCAGACTGTGGACATTCACAGGCTTGGCCCTTAGAAAACATCAGTGTGCATGTTTCACGTATGAACAAACGGGCAGCTCCCTCCCCTGTGTCTCATTCAGCCGCGTTGCTTCTCTGGAATAAATTGTAGTCCTCCTAATTTTCCCAGTTTGATCACGGGCCACTTACTTTATCAATAGACAACTCCTGCTTAGAACTCTGGCTGGTAAG